GTATTTGCAATGAAAAAGTTGTTGGCCTTGCAAAATTCTATCAGACAATCTCCAGCATCATTTTTTCACCAAGGCCATATTTTCTAACTACTGATCCATCTTTTTTTCCCAACCTTTGCAATCCAATCACCAACAATTATCAATACATCTTAATTGCAAGTTTGATCGATTTCAGACTGAAGAAGTTGGTAGAATTCTTCAATTTCATAATCACTGGCTTTAGTGGTTGGTGTATAAATTGAATAATAGTGGTATTGACCCACCTTCCTTGTAGGTGTATAGATATTATCCGGACACAAACATTACATTCAAGGTTAATCTTGGAATATTCTTTTTGATAATGAATATTATACTCTTCAGTTTGTCATTCTCAGCATAGCAAAACATGTGAGTGTTAGATTCAAAATGGCCAATATCAACCAGTCTATTTCAATTCACCAATGCCTAGAATATCAATGCTTATGCATTTCATTTCATTTTTTACAATTTCCAATTTTCCTTGATTCATACTTCATACATTCCAAGTTCCAATTATTAGTGTTTGCAGCTATTTAAGTATTTAAAGTGAAATGAAACAAAAAAACAACAACCTGAAAATAAGAAACCAGAGATACCAATTTATAATGAAGACAACTACAAAGAAAACAAAGGGAATAGTACAGATGCAGAACATATAAAAGATGAGGAAGTCAAGTATGTTTCAAGATAAAATAGACAGTTTTAAACTGGAGATGAAATTCATGACTTACAGAGTAACCTCAAAGAGAATACACCTCCACATCAAAATAAAAAAGGAAAAGAAGAAAGATTTAATAAAACAATTACAATGAAGAAAATGAAAAGAAACCCCACAAACAAAATGAACTCTGACAAATGTCTCCTCAGATATGCAGGGCCATAGGCATTCCACGGCAGGCAGCTAGGAGCTGGCAGAGGTGCTGAACCTTTTGAAGTTGTGAACAAGCATTGATCATAATACACATTAGTTGGGCACAGTACACAGCAAGGTCAGGCCTGACTGAGGGGCAAGGACTAAGTTAAAAAAAAAAAAAAAAAACTTTATAAAAAAAGCAAAAAGACAAGCTACCAATTGAAAGATTATATTTAGGAACCATATATCCAACAAGAATTTAATAAACAAAACACAAGAACAAAAAGGCAAATAATGTAATTCTAAAATGGGTGAAGGACTTAAATTGTCATTTTACCAAAAAGGATATTCAAATAGCCACCAAACACATGAAAAGATGCTCAGTATAATTAGCTATCAGTGAGGTACCATATCACAAATGGCTCACAACCGCCACCACCATCACCAGGATGACTAAGACAGAAAAAAAAATAAACAAGAATATAGCAACTATTAGATGTGAGAAATCTTGAACCTCTTTTATCTGTTGCTGGTGGGAATGCAAAATGGTACAACTACAGTTCCTGAAAAAAAGGAACTCAACTTTTGATCTAGAAACTCCAATCCTAGATAAACACCCAAAAGACCTGAAAACAGAGCTGCCAAGAGACTTGTACAAAATGTTAGTTGCAGTACTATTCACAATAGCCAAAAGGTTGAAACAACTTAAATGCCAATCAACAGATGGATGGATAAACAAAATGAGAAATGAGGTCTTGATACATGCTACACAATGAATGGAAGTTCAAGACAATTGTGGTTGTTGTTGTTAGGTGCCATCGAGTTGGTACCGACCCATAGCGACCTTATGCACAGCAGAACGAAACACTGCCCGATCCTGGGCCAACCTCACTACTATTGCCACGCTTGTGTACATCAATGCTGCCACTTGGCTAATCCATCTCATTGGGGGTCTTCCTCTTTTTCTCTGACCCTCCACCTTACCAAACATGATATCCTTCTCCAGTGACTGGTCCCTCCTGACAATATGTCTGAAGTATGAGAGACGAAACTTAGCCATCTTGGCCTCCAAGGAGCACTCTGGCTGCACTTCTTCCAAAATGAATCTATTGGTTCAAAAATATCCCCTGGGGTCTTCTTAAAATCAAGCAATAGTTTCGCTTAACTAGTAAAAATAAAAAATAAAAACAGGTCGGTCTTGAGAGTTATACTCTTTGTTGTTGTTGTTGTTGTTTTTTATCCCATTACTGTTGTCACTGTGACAATCCATCTCGTTGAGGTCTTCCTCTATTTCACTGAACCTCCACTTTACCAATGTCCTTCTTCAGGGACTGGTCCCTCTTGATAACCTGTTTGAAGTCTGAGAGATGAACTCTTGCCATCCTGGCTTCTAAGGAGTATTCTGACTGTACTTTTCCAACACAGATGTGTTTGCTCTTCTGGCAGTCTGTGGTACTTTTACTATCCTTCTCAATACCATAATCTAAATGCATCAGTTCTCCTATGTTCTTCTTTCTACAGTGTCAGAAACTGTAAGAAGCAGTTCTACTTTATCCTATGTTGTTGTTGTTAAATGCCATCGAGTTGGTTCTGACCCATAGCGACCCTGTACAGGGTTTCTGAGGCTGTAAATCTTTACGGGAGCAGAAAGCCTCATCTTTCTCCCGTGGAGAGGCTGGTAGTTTCGAACTGCCGACCTTAATGTTCGCAGCCCGATTCATAACCATTATGCTACCAAAGGAGTCTTAATAAGTTGGAGTTCACTCAATGGCAAGGACTTTGGTTTGGTTTGGTTGATCTTTACTCATTATACTCTTTTAAGAACTCTCTATATGGGATTAAATTGATAACAGCAACTCAAAAGATTAGATAGGAGTGAGGGGGCAATAAAGGCACAAAGTGACAGGCTCACAAGTTTTCAAGAGGGGATTTAATTTAAGGGTGTGCGGGGGAAGACAGAATCCCCACTGAATAGTTTTCATCTTGCCTAGATGGGTCTGGTAAAACAAGATGGGGATAAGATTCTTATAATTCAATATTGAGTAATTGTTATCATGACTAATTTCGACTCTCACAATTGTAAAGGTGGAAGTTTTGTAAAAAACAAAACAAAACAGGGAAGTAGTTAATCTTACAGTCCAGAAACACAGGACCCTAGGACCATCAAGGGAGAAGAACACAAGCGGAATGCGAGGCCCTATCCAGAGAAGCAACGACACCAGAGATGGAGGCAGAGATGGGAACATGGAGAGAGAGAGAGCAGCTAAGGACTCTAGATTGATGGAAAGTGAGGGACTGAGAGATGGCAGCCAGAAGGCAGACTTGAAGAATGTGCCCTTTGGTAGTGTAAATTATTATATATGTTTGAGTGTTTAAAAAAAAAAAAGCTAAAATGAATAGAGAGAAATACTGTTAATTGATGGCACATGTTGTCGTTGTTGTAAAATGCCATCGAGTTGGTTCCAACCCATAGCGACCCTGTATAGGGTTTCCAAGGAGCAACTGGTGAGCTTGAACCGTCAACCTTGCAGTTCAAACAGCTTTGCAGTCTGGCACATTAACCCACAGCGCCACACCAGTACATGGAAGGGATTATAATTATTGTAATGAAACAAACTATATAATTTGTTGAATGTAAAACTGATGATCTGCCCTGTAAACTTCCACTCAATTCACAACAAAAACTTTAAAAAAGGGATTAGATTGGAACCTTATGGGGCAGTGAGTTTATGTTAGTGGGGGCAGAACCACTCAGAAAAAGAGAGTGATTGAACACCTTGAAGAATGTAATTAATGTCACTAAATTATACATGTAAAAATGATCAAGTTGCTGTATGTTTTGCTGTATATATATTCTCAACAACAATACAATTTAAAGAAAAAGCACCAGAGAGGTCAACTGACACTCTGGAAGACTGAGCAGTCCAAGAGCAAACCCAGGACTGCCCACCCTTGCCTCTGTAGGTCTCTGTTGAGCCAACCCTCACCGTCCATGCCCACCCTGGAAGGAGCCCCTGAAGGACAGGCCCTTACCTCGCAAGCAGCTCACACAGGCCATGCAGCGGCCAGTCTTGTCCAGGTAGTAATCCACATCACACTTCTTCCTGCAGTCAGAAGACCCCTGTGGGCATGGCTGTTGTGTGGACAGCCCTGGGGAAAGAAGCAGAGAAACACTGCCTTGGTGTAGGCACACACCCCAACCTCAAAACCCACAGCTCCATGGCTTTCTCCCAAACTTCCCATGTATCAGATTGGTCTTACCTCTCAGAGGGAGCCCTGAGACTTAAACAGGGAAGGAACATGCCTAAAGTCACACAGAAGAACACTAATTGCTTCCTAACTGCCCCCACCCCGCTCTACCCTTCTGTATCCACCATCTTCACTATTTACAGAGTCCTCTCCCCATTGGTATTGCCAGGTCACATCCCAGCTCTAAACAACAGCCACGATGTTCTCTTTGAAATCAGCAGAATGGCAAGGATGCCCATTATTATAACTTTATTCACTGTGCTTCTACAGATCCTAGCCAATGCAATAATGCAAGAAAAAGAAAGAAAAGTGATCATGTTTGGAAAGGAGAATCAAGCTATTATTATTCATAGGTGATATCATTGAGTGCACAGACAACCCAAAAGGATTTTCAGATACATGATTAGAATTGTTGTTGTTGTTAAGTACTGTGGAGCCGGTTCTGACTCATAGTGACCCTGCACAGGGTTTCCGAGGCTGTAAATCTTTACGGGAGCAGAAAGCCTCGTCTTTCTCCCGCGGAACGGCTGGTAGTTTTGAACTGCTGACTTTGAGGTTGGCAGTCCAGCTCGTAACCACTACACTACCAGAACTCCTTCATGATTCGATTAGAGTTAATAGTGAATTTATTAGCAAGGTAGTTGGGGGATCATGTCACTATATCAGATTCAGCTGAATTTTTATGTATTAGATTGAACCAAATGAAATTGCTGCTTCTGCAAATCAAAAAGGGTCAAATGTTGATAATTTCAAATAGTTCAAAATAATATAAATGATGATGAGTATGAAATACTGACAATTTCCATCATCGTTAAAAACATAAAATAACTTAAAATCTATTTAACAAGAAGATGTACAATAGCTTTATTATATATATTTACAATAGCTTTATATTGAAAACCATAAAAAGCCATTGAGAGAATTTGAAGAAGACTAAACAAATGCAAGGCCATCCCAGGCTCATGCAAGGCCATCCCCATTGCCCACTGAGTTGATTTCAACTCACAGCAACCCTGTACGACAGATTCGAACTGCTCCGTAGGATTTCTGAAACTGTAAATCTTTACAGGAGCAGAAACTTCATCTTTCTCCCAGAGTGGGTGGTGGGTTTGATGCGCCAACCTTGTGGTTAGCACCCAACACTTAACCCACTGCACCACTAGGGCTCCTGTTTATAGATGTTGTAGGGTTTCTGAGGCTTTAAATCTTCACGGGAGCAGAAAGCCTCATCTTTCTCTTGCATGCTTATTGCTGTTGTTAAGTGCCATCAAGTCAATTCTGACCCATAGTGACCCTGTGTAGGGTTTCCAAGGAGCCACTGATGAGCTTGAACCACTGACCTTGCAGTTCAAACTATTTTGCAGTCTGACACATTAGCCCACAGCACCATACCAGGACTCAATATTGGGAAAATGTGGGTTTTCCCCAAATTAATCTATAAATCAATGCAAACCCAAGCAAAATCCCAAGAGAACTTTTCATGGAATTTCAAAGCTGCTTCTAAAATTTACATGGAAATACAAATTACCATGAATATCCAATATACTATTGGAGAACAAAGTTGAAGAAGCTGTTCAACTATCAAGACATTTACCAAGTACAATAATTAAGATACTATAGTATTAGCACAGAATACATTAATGGACTAGAATCATACCCACACATATATAGGCCCTTGATTTAAAACAAAGATGACATGTAAAACAGCAGGGGAAGAATAATCTATTTGACAAACGATGTTCGTCTGACTGGTTCCCCATATGCATAACTTGAAATATGGCCCTTACCTGCCACCATACACCAAGTCAAAATGATTACACATCTAAATGTGAACGGCAAAGCCACAACATTCCTAGAAAATAAACATAGGTAGCCACTGAGTCTTTCAGAAGGAAAAGACTTCCAAAGCAGGTTACAAGCATTAACCATAAAGGGAAAGATCCAGTGAAGCTGATCTCATTAAAATTAAGGCCACTTCATCAAAAGACCCACAAAAAGAATGAAAAAGCAAGCCACAAGGCTGGAGGAGATGTTTTCAACACATCTATAGGACTTAGGACCCAGGGAGTCCTGCTGTGGCACTGTGGGTTAATGAGCTAGACTGCAAAGTTGGTTTGAACTGCAGGGTTGGTGGTTCAAGCTCACCAGTCACTCTTTGGAAACCCTCTGCAGGGTCGCAATGGGTCAGAACTGACTCGACGGCACTTAACAACAATAGGACCAAGAGTCATTGTTTTTCAAATCCTACATATTAATTTGTTATTTTCAGGTGCCACTGAATCGGTACCAACACACAACAACACATAGCACAACAGAATGAAACACTGCCCAGTCCTGGGCCAACCTCACAATCAGAGTGAGGTATACCTGTACTATATGATTCATCTAATGTTCAAAACTGGTAAAACTAAACTAGAGATGTACTAGGTGTGTGCTTAGATGGCAAAGGTAGAGAGACAGCAGGTAATTGATTACTGTAAGAGTCATGATCATGGAGTTAGCTGCAGGGCGATGGTGGGCAGGAGAATGATTAGGGTTCTGGAAGGACCTTCTGTGGGGCTGGATAGTGGTGGTTCACTTTGTAAGAATTCAGTGAGCTGTTTATTTGCTATGTATCCTATTCCCCATGACCAAACATGAAATCTTGAGTATAGTGCAAAGGCCCATATATATGTCAGTAGGACCAGAGTCTTGAAGGATAAGCCAAAATATATTGCTACATAATCACAACTACCTTTATTAAACAAAAATATCAAAATGGGAAGCTATTATTTCTTAATATATTCTCCTATCTAGGGCTATGGGCTATGCAATTCCCTCTCTCTAAGCCTTGCCTCAAAGAATTCTGTCCTGTTTGATTTACACCACATCAAAATTGCAGTGTTGATACCCTCAGGGGACTTAAAGCATGTTTCTTTTCAATGGTCTTTGACTCTGAGGAACAAAAGAAGTCTAAAGGGACAAGATCAGGGCTATAGGGTGGACGGAGTAAGGTTTCCCACCAAAATGCTCATAGGACAGCCTTGAAGAACAGGCAGGTGCATTAGTGAAGGAAAAACTGCACAACTTTCCTGAGCCTTTTCTCACCAATGAAGTTTTCAATTTTCTTAAAATTTCTTCCAAATAAATTGACGTGATTGTCCTGTGCCCGCTGAGAAAATCTACCAAAAATATCCCTCTGGCACTCCAAACCACAGTCTCTATAACTCTTTGATCTGACCTTTCTCCCTTGAATTCATCTTTCCAGCCTTCCTTAAAACACTTGATCCAGCTTAATTAAAAAAAAAAAAAAGTTTTATGTGGAGCATTCTCATTGACACGTTATAAAGCATCTGATTTGGGAAAATGCACACTTGAGTTTTGTTAAAAATATGAAATTAGCCTTAAACTCAAAATTGTTTTCTCACCCCATCCTCCCCCACGGCATTTCAAAAAACTATCATTTATTTCCGTGGCACTGTGGGTTAATGCGCCAGACTGCAAAGCCATTTGAACTGCAAGATTGGTGGTTCATGCTCACCAGCAACCCCTATACAGGGTTGCTATAGGTTGGCATTGACTCGACGGCACTTAACAACAACAACAAGACTAAGACAAGTGTATCACTAAGAGAGCTTATCTGCAACCATCCACCGATCACAGAGACACGGTTAAACACATTTTGTTTAGAATAAATTCGTGCATGTATGAACTGCAACCTTAGTAGCAACATTGTTTTTTTACTTACTCTCATATTTTCAGGAAAATACGAGAGTAAGTAAAATCATGTTTTCACAATGCGATTAACACATCTATCACATCTCAACTAAAAGGCCTTTCCCACCTTAAACAACGATGAGACTTTGGGTAATGACCTCCCTGCCTTGTGGATTTGGCCTCAACCTCATCTCCCACCAGCCACCTTGGCTTAGGTCACTTCATCAAGGGACAGTGCTCCCTCATGTTTACTTACTCGTGCTGTTTTCCTGCCTGGAACACCCTCCCCTACCCTTTCTGCCTGATTCTCTTCTGTGCATTCCTTACTTAAAAGAAGAAAACAAAACAAAAAACATGACAGGCAAGTCAATTACAACTCGTGGCAATGGCAATCCCATGTTTTCAGGGTTTTCTTGGTTGTAAACTTCTCAGAAGCACATCACCAAACCTAACTCTCATGGGTGGCTAAATAGTTTCAAACCTTGTAGTAAGTTGTTGTTGATATTAGATGCTGTCGAGTCAGTTCCGACTCATAGCAACCTTGAACGAAACACTGCCTAGTCCTGTACCATCTTCTTAACTGTTGTTACACTTAAGCCCATTGCTGCCACCACTGTTCCAGTCCATCTCTCCTTGAGGGTCTTCCTCTTTTTCACTGCCCCCCCTCTTTACCAAGCACCATGCCCTTCTCCAGGGACTGGTCTATCCTTATAACATGTCTGAAGTATGAGAGATGAAGCCTCATCATCTGGCTTCTCAGGAGAATTCTGACTGTACTTTTTCCAACACAGATTTGTTTCTTCTTCTGGCAATCTGTAGTACTTTTAATATTCTTCTCCAGCACTGTAACTCAAATGCATCAATTCTTCCATGGTATTCCTTAGTCATCGTCCAACTTTCACATGCATATGAAAATACCATGATTTGGTTCAGGTGCACTTCAGTCCTCAAAATGACACCTTTGCTCTTGAACACGTTAAAGAGGTCTTGTGCAGTAGATTTGCACAATGCAATACACCATTTGATTTCTTGACTGTTGCTTCCCTGAGTGTTGATTGTAGATCCAATGAAAATGAAGTCTTTGAATCAATCTTTTCTCCATGTATCATGACACTATTTATTGACCCAGTTGTGAGGATTTTGTTTTCATTACATTGAGAAGCACGCCATACTGAAGGCTGATCTTCAACAATAAGTATTTTAAGTCCTCTTTACTTTCAGCAAGCAAGGTGCATATTGTAGTCTGTTAATGAGTCTTCCTCCAATCCTGATGCCACGTTTTTCTTCGTATAATCTAGTTTCTCAGACTATTCAGCATTTTTGTTGTTGTTGTTATGTGCCGTGTTGTTATTATATTGTTGTTGTTATGTTCCAACTCATAACGACCCTGTACAGGGTTTCTGAGGCTGTAAATCTTTAGGTTAATGCAAAGCCATTTGAACTGCAAGGTTGGTGGTTCAAGTTCACCAGCTGCTCTTCGGAAACCCTATACAGGGTCACTATGGGTCGGAGCCGACTTGACGGCACTTAACAACAACATGCTGGAGAGCAAGTTTCAAAGTCTTTCCTGACATCCATTTTGGTCTTTTCTTTCTTTCTTGTCTTAATGCCCTCTTGCTTTCTTCCTGTATGATGTTCTTGATGTCATCCCACAACTCTCTGGTCTTCGGTCACTGGTGTCTAATTCATCAAATTTGTTCTTCAGACGATCTCTAAATTCAGGTGGGATCTGTTTAAGGTCATATTTTGGCTCTCATGGGCTTCTTTTAATTTTCTTCAACTTCAGCCTAAACTTTCATATGATCAATTGATGGTCTGTTCCATAGTCTGCCCCTGGCCTTGTTTTGATTGATGATATGTTACATTTTGATTTCTGTGTGTTACATCTGATGAGGTCCATGACTTTCATGTTACTTAAAAAAAAGATGTTTTCAATGAACAAGTCATTGGTCTTGCAAAATTCTGTCATGTGATCTCCAGCATCATGTCTATCACCAAGGCCATATTTTCCAACTATTGATCCTTTCTCTTTGTTTCCAACCTTTACATTCCAATCACCAGTAATTATCAATATACCTTGAGCCGTGTTTGATCAATTTCAGACTAGAAAGTTGGTAGAACTCTTCAATTTCATCATCACTGGCTTTAGTTGTTGGTGCATAAATTTGAGTAGCCGTGGTATTAACTGGTCTTCCCTGTAGGTGTGTAGATATTACCCTATCACAGACAGCATTGTACTTCTAGGTTTTGAAATGCTCTTTTTGATGATTTATGTGATGTCATGCCTCTTCAACTTGTCAATCCTGGTACAGTAAACCATATGAATGTCAGATTCAGAATGACTAGTACCAGTCCATTTCAGTTCACTAATGTTGATCTTTATGCATTCCCTTTTTATTTTGGACAACTTCCAATTTTCCTAGATTCATACTTCGTATAGTCTGTGTTCTAATTATTACTGGATGGTGGCAGCTGTTCCTCATTTTGAGTTGTGCCCAACAGTCTGAAAGCCTTAATTCATTCCTGTCATCACAGTCCACTCTCCTCTGAGGAGGCAGCTCTTCCCCAGTTGTCTTGAGAGTGACTTCCAACCTGAGGGGCTTATCTTCCGGCACTATCTCTAACAATATTCTGGTGCTCTTCATAAGGTTTTCAATTTCTGGCACTATATCTGACGATATTCCGCTACTACTCATAAGGTTTTCAGTGGCTAAGCATTCAGGAGTAGTCCACCTCGCCTTCCTAGTCTGTCTTAATCTGGAAGCTCAGCTGAAACCTGTCCACCACGGGTGACCCTGCTGGTATTTAAAATACCAGTGTCATAGCTTCCAGAATCACAGCAACACGCAAGCCACCACAGTAGGATAAACTGACAGGTGAATGGTGATTTTAGTATGTTATTAAACACTTCATTGCATTTCTTAGAGTTCTGCTCAAATACCATACCTGACCCTATTAGTCCCTCAACCACCTTCCACACCAGTCATATCTTTTCCTGGAATCCTGTTCTTCAGCATTTACTGGTGTCATGATTCTAAATATACTTCAAAGAGTATCCATTCTGTCTTTTCTGCCCAATTGCAAGCACTATGAAAATAGAACAGGAACTGATACACCCAGTACCTACCACAGTGCCTGGCACACAATTGTTGTTGTTAAGTGCCGTCAAGTTGATTCTGACCCACAGCAACACTGTATAGGGTTTCCAAGGAGCAACTGGTGAGCTTGAACCACCACCACAGTTGTTGTTGTTGTTGTTGTTGTTGTTGTTGTTAGGTGTCATCAAGTTGGTACCGACCCATAGCAACCTTATGCACAGCAGAATGAAACACTGCCCGATCCTGGGCCAACCTCACTACTGTTGCCACACTTGAGTCCATCAATGCTGCCACTTGGCCAATCCATCTCACTGGGGGTCTTCTTCTTTTCCTCTGACCCTCCGCCTTACCTTCTCCAGTGACTGGTCCCTCCTGACAATATGTCTGAAGTATGAGAAACAAAGTTTGGCCATCTTGGCCTCCAAGGAACACTCTGGCTGCACTTCTTCCAGAACAGATCTATTGGTTCTTTTGGCAGCTCATGGCACTTTCAATATTCTCCTACAACACCAAAATTCAAATGCGTCAATTCTTCTATGGTCTTCCTTATTCATTGTCCAGCTTTCGCATGAATATGAGGTTATTGAAAATACCATGGCTTGGGTCAGGCGCACCTTAGTCCTCAAGCTGACATCTTTGCTCTTCAACACTTTCAAAAGGTCTTGTGCAGCAGATTTGCCTAATGCAATACGTCGTTTGATTTCTTGACTGCTGCTTCTGTGAGTGTTGATAGTTGATCCAAGAAGAATGAAGTCCTTGACAACTTCAATCTTTTCTCCACTGATAAGAATGTTGTTTATTGGTCTAGTGGTGAGGATTTTTATTTTCTTTACATTGAGATGTAATCCATACCGAAGGCTGTGCTCTTTGACCTTCATCAGTAAATGTTTTAAGTCCTCTTCACTTTCAGCAAGCAAGCTTGTATCATCTGCATGTCACAGGTTGTTAATGAGTCTTCCTCCATTCCTGATGCCACATTTTTCTTCATAGAACCCAGCTTCTCGGATTTGCTCAGCATACCGGTTGAGTAAGTATGGTGAAAGAATACAAACGTGCCGCACACCGTTTTTAATTTTAAAACATTCAGTGTTCCCATGTTCCCAACTGTTTCTTGGTCCAGGTAGATTCCTCATGAGCACAATTAAGTGTAAAGGAATACTCATACTTCTCAATGTTGTCTACAGCTTGTCATGATCCACACAATTGAAAGCCTTTGCATAGTCAATAAAGCACAGGTAAACATCTTTCTGATATTCTCTGCTTTCAGCCAAGATCCATCGGACATCAGCAGTGATATCCCTTGTTCCACAGCCTCTTCTGAATTCGGCTTGAATCTCTGGAAGTTCTCTGTCAATGTATGATTGTAGCCATTTCTGTATTACCTTTAGCAAAACTTTACTCGCATCAGATATCAAAGAGATTGTCCAATGACAGCTTGTTGTACTGTGGTGGCTTGTGAGTTGCTGTGATTCTGAAAGCTATGCCACTGGTATTTTAAATACCAGCAGGGTCACTCATGGTGGACAGGTTTCAGATGAGCTTCCAGACAAAGACAAAGTAGGAAGAAAGAGTCACGAACTACTTCCAAACATTTAGTCACTGAAAACCTTATGAATAGCAGAGAAACCACCGCAGTAGGTGCTCAAAAATGTAGCTAAATGAACAAGCCCTTCCATCATCTACCTCTGGCCCTCACTGTCAACATCCCAGGAGATCAGACCTTGAATCTCTCTCCTCTACCCACGCCCCACTCCCCCAACCCTCCGTGCCCACCACACACCGTAGTCATAACCAATCAGATACCGTTGCCCTCGGTGACAACCCACCGCTCCTAGAGAGATTACCTGAATCTGAGGTGGGCTTCCCCACAGAGGAGGAGGAGTGGGGAGGCTTCATTGGTTTGGGAGCATCTTCTGAGGCATTAACTGGTCCCTCTCCGAGGGACATGGTCCTAGCACTGGAGGTGGCTGAGGAGTTCAGAGCAGTGGTGGTGTTCCTGGGAAAGAAGATGACATGAGATGGATGATAGAAACTATTTTCTCAGTGGGCAATGTAATGGCATCTACAGAGAGGGATAGCCAAGCCCCGGGCTTCTACTAGCTTACTGTAGTTGCCTCAGAAGCCAGGAATGTATTTTCTCAGTCTCCGCTCTGAGTGCTCAGGGCAGAGCTAGGCACACAGTGGGCCACTGGTGACTTGTTGGCTTGGCAGAGAGGCACTCTTGGGTCCCAATATCCTGGGCTTGATACCACCTGCACCCTGCCCTGCCCGGCTGTGCCCTGGGACATCTTCTGAGTTTGAGACTGTTCCAACTGAAGGTCAGCTGGAGGGGAAAGGAAGGAAAAGAACTACCGATTCACCTGGCAGGCGTCTTGCAGTCCTTTGAGCTGGTGCGGCAACCAGGACCGGTTCTTCGGGGAGCTGGCTCACAGACAGTGTTCCTCTTAGCTGTGCCTGCAAGGAGACAGCAACGTCTTCAGAGATGATATCAAATAATCTTAGTCTCAAGGAATAAATCTTTACCCCCACAAAACAGAGTCAGGAATGCTGTGCTCAGAAAGTGCTATGACCATCTGGTGTTCATGCCAGAAAGCACCTGTTTCCCTTTGGAGTAAATCACTCTGATTTCCCCTGGGGAATTACTTGTCCCAATCTCAGTCTCAGCAGTCAGGGTCTGGGACTAAGTGACCCCTTCCAGGAGGAGCCCTATGATCAGGCTGAAATAGGCCACTCTCTCCTCAGGTCATAGTCCCTGGTTCAGGATGGACACAAGACCCAGGCCAGGCCTTTCCAAACAAATGCAAGGTTTGCTGTTGGTTGTTGAAAATGTCAGAAGTAGCATGGGGTTGGTAGAGACACCAAATGGAGCTGCTGATTAGGAATCTTACAGACACAGGAAGAAAGCAGAGAAGCTAGCAGGAGGGTAATAGAGCCCCTGGACTCAGCCAAAGCAACTTCAAGACTTTGCAGTTACATGAACCAAAAAATTTGAGATTTTATTACTTGTAACCCAAAGAGTGCTGAAGACTACTGGGTGAAAGCAGAGTTGAGAGCAACACACTCTGGGATCTCCAGCAGGCAGACCCAACTTTGCCTGCCACCTCTGCCACACTCGAGCCGTGCCAGGCAAGTAAACCTCTCAGCCTCAGTTTTCTCCTTTGTAAAATGGGTACAACAGCATACCCTGGTATAGTGCTGTAGGATAAGCACTAGACTATTAACCTCGAGGTCGCCGGTTTAAACCCACCAGTCGCTTCCTGGGAACCCTATACAAGGTCGCTATGCATCAGATCTGACTAGACGGCACTTAACAACAACAAGAAGTAGTCACTTTTTTTAAAAAAGCAAAAAAAGAAACAGGTGAAATTAATTCTAATACACACTTATTTAACCTAATGTATTCAAAATGTTTTCATCAACGTGCAATCAACAGAAAAAGTTATTGAGAGGTTTTAAGTTATTTTTTTTCAACCCAACTTGAAATCCAGTGCATAGTTTACACTTACAGCTCATAATGGCAGCATGTGATAGAATCGAACAGCTCCCCACAGGAAGTTCTAGGCTGTTACATTTAGGGAAGTAGAATTACTAGGTCTATCTTCTGCAGAGCCACTGAGTGGGTTTCAACAGCCACCTGTGAAGAGCCAAGTACCAACCAGCGTAGACAGCACCAGCAAGAAGCCGCAGAAAGAGCACTCTGGCGCCACCACCTGGTAGTATCATGAACACCTTTCAGGGTGCCTCCCTAGTCAGAGGCTGGTCCACACAGGGTGTAATGACTGCACTTGTTGTTGAGTAGCATGGAGTCAGTTCTGACTCATAGTGACCCTGCACAGGGTTTCCGAGGCTGTAAATCTTTACTGGAGCACAACGCCTCATCTTTCTCTCGTGGAGCGGCTGGTAGTTTCGAACTGCTGACTTTGAGGTTGGCAGTCCGACTCGTAACCACTACGCTACCAGAGCTCCTTAATGACTGAGCTAGAGGCTAATTTTTTTAGAGACGCAAGAGTTTCTGACCCGGAAAGGACTTCAAGGGCCTTCAAGCCACACTTCCTCATTTTTTAGGTAGGTAAACTGAGGCCCATAAAGTTGTGGGAACATGTCCCATAGATACAAAGCTATGCAAAAACCCAGGTATCTGATGCCCAGTTCTGAGCACTTTTTACTATCCCACCCTGCACCTCTCGTGGGTGTCTCTTGGAAAAGTGCTTTTCTGTTACTGAAGAAGAATTTGGCTAGATTTAAAGGGACCCCACCCAGGCTCAGCTCTGATCCCTCATTAGGTGCCTCCATATTCATTCAACAACTATTTACTGAGAGCACCTTCTGTCTGGTATTGGGTGAGGCAGTGAGGAAATAACAGTGAGCTCATGGACCTCACAGCACCTAAAGACAGAGACAAATAGGTGGGACCGAGTGAGTGGTCAGGACAGGCCGTTTGGGCAGTGAGACCAAGGTTGAGTATGTCAGAAAACTGTCATTGAGTTGGCTCATGGTGCCCCCTTATGTATGAAAGTAGAACCGTATTCTACAGGGCTTCAATGGTTGATTTCGATGAACCCTGATAGCACAATGGTTAAGCACTTAGCTGCTAACTGAAAGGTTGGTGGTTCAAACCCACACAGTGACTCTGTGAAGACTAAAAACAAATCTGAGCGATTGCCATCAAGCCAATTCCAACTCGTCACCATGCTAGAGGACAAAGTAGAACTGCCCCTTAGGGTTTCTTAGACTGTAAACATCTTCACGGAAGCAGACTATTACATCTTTCTCCCTAGAACAGTTGGTAGATTCGAACCATTGACCTTCTGGTTAGCAGTCAACCACTTAACCACTGTACAAACAAGTCTCCTTTTCTGTAAAGATTGCTGTTGCTACTGTAAAGTGCTGTAGAGTTGGTTCCAACCCATAGTGACTCTGTATTGGGTTTGTGAGGAGCAGCTGGTGAACCTGAACCACCAACGTTGAAGTTCAAATGGCTTCATAGTCAAGTGCATGAACCCACAGCGTCATACCAGCCTAGATAACCACGTAAGGAAGTTCTCCTCTGTCATACAGGGTTACAATGAGCTAGAATCAGCTCGGTGGCCCCTAACAACAAGACATTGTAAGAACTTTCTTCTTAGGAACCTGGAGGGAGCATTGTACCAGTCAGGGAGCAGCAGATGCAAAGGCCTAGTGGAAGGAAGAAGCACGGCAGGTTTGTGGAGCTGTGAAGGAGCAGACAGGAGGGGGCCTGGAGAATGAGGTCGGTGCTGAGCGTTGAGGTCACAGGACACAGAGCCTCCATGACATATGCTGTACTGAGAACCGTATCCTTGAGACTTCCACTTCTGGGAAGATGGAATAAACATACTTCTCCCCACTCTTCCCACTTTACACATTACCATCAAGTCAATTCCAAGTCATAGAGACCCTACAGGGCAGAGCAGACGTACCCCATAGGGTTTTCAATGCTGTAAATCTTAACAGCTCTGGTAGCGTAGTGGTTATGAGTTGGGCTGCCAACCTCAAGGTCAGCAGTTCAAACTACCAGCGGTTCCATGGGAGAAAGACGAGGCTTTCTACTCCTGTAAAGATTTACAGCCTTAGAAACCCTGTACAGGGTCACTATGAGTCGTAACCAACTCCACGGTACTTAACAACAACAAATCTTCACAGACACCTATTGCCACATCTTTCTCCCACACACTGAGTGCTTGGTAAGTTCAAACCACCCACCTATCAGTTAGCAGTCAAGCGTGTAACCATTGCACCACCATGGTGCCTTATTCCCTCCACTAAGTAAGGAGCTCTGGTAGCGTAGTGGTTACAAATCGGGCTGCAAACCACAACGTCAGCAGTTCAAAACCACCAGCTGCTCCGCGGGAGAAAGATGAGGCTCTCTGCTCCTGTAAAGATTTACAGACTTGGAGACCCTGTACAGGGTCGATATGAGTCGGAACCGACCACCACCACCAAGTACAAGAAGTCCTGGTGTGGTGCTGTAGGATAAGCACTGGATCGCAAGGTTGGTGGTTCAAACCCACCAACTGCTCCTCGGAAATCCTATACAGGGTTGCTGTGAGTTGGAGCCGACTCAATGGCACTTAGCAACAATAACAGGTACAAGTGAAAACTCCAGACATTCTGTAGAAAACAAACATAGGAAGGCTCTGAAGAGTGGAGAGAAAAAGGCAGATTAGTTAGGGACCTTGGGACCTTAGGAATGATGGTAATGAGTCCTGAGGTTTTTTCTTTGGTTCATACACCCTAGAAGAAGGCAGCAACCCAGAGATGCCAAACAGTGCAGGAAAATTAGCTAAGGGATTATTCCTTGTCATGGGATAACAGGAAGATACTGAGGGATTTTGGCAGGGTGTATGTGGGTAGTTATCAGATTGGTTTTGCAAAGGTCACTCTGGCTACCTGCTAGGAGCAAAAATGTGAGGAGGAATTGACGAGGGGGCAGGAAAAATAACTGGAAGCAAAATCCACAGGAAGCGGGGGGCGGGGGGATGAAGGGCAGGGAAAAGGTAGGAGGAGACGGGGTTCAGGACAGGACCAGATTGGTGGGGAGAGGATGCGGATGTGGGCTTGGCAGAAGGGGCAGAGGTAACTTTTCTCCCTGGTGGACAAGTCTCACCTGATCCTGTCCCATTTCCATGGCTGTGGCACCTCTTGTGAGCTGTTGTTCAAAGCACATCTGTGTCCCACCCTCCCTTCTAAGAGGTTCTTTTCAACCCAGCCCAATGCCCAAACTCTGGCATCTCCAACTGTCAGTGACCCAATTGTGAAACAGGAGACCATCCCCAATCTTTCAGAGAACTTCCAAAGGCTTCCCTGTTGTTTTATGTTGTTCATCTCAAATCAGCCCAAGACCTCCTCCAGTCAGATCTGAACCTCTGGCCACCAGGTGTCCCAGGGAAGGGGCAGTACAGGGGTGTGGGCACTTTATGCAGCCCTGTCATTCAGAATGGAGACATGGTCTGGACCACAGGAAAGAGGAAGTGGGAGCCAGAAGTCATTTGCTGGGTTGGGAATGAGGAATGAAACAGCAGCATGGACCCATATCTTGCTCCAGGCTGTGGGTGGAACTGCTTACCCTGGAGTTTGACAATCATTCCTGATGGACAGACGGAGTGGGTGAAGCAACGGGCACAGGAGTTGGTGGCTGGTGTGACACAGAACATTCCAGGTTGACATTCACAGACACGGGGGGAGTTCCTTGTGCAGGGCGTCTTCTCCACAAGATCACCTAAGGACACAGAGAAAAGTCAAGGGAGGGATAAGGAGGTGACAAGAGAAAGGGAACCAGGGACGCTCCTGGGAGGAGAAAGAAGCAAAGCATTTGCCCAGAGGTTGTCCAATGAGAAAGTCAATGCTTATTTGGCTGTTCCATTGGGCAGGTCTTCTGGTATGTTCAAAACACTTATGTGGAATGAAAGAAGCCAGACCAAAGGGGGATACATATTGCATGATTCTGTGGACATAAACTTCCAGAAAATGTACATTATTCCACAGTACAGAAAGTTCCCTGGGGATGGGGAATGGTAGGACAAAGGGACTTCAGGAAACTTTTGAGGGTGATCTGTGCAGTATCTTGATTGTAGTGTTCGCTATGTGAAATGTATCAGATTGTATACTTTAAGTATGCACAGTCTCTCATGTGTCCCTCTAGTGCAGGTGTGGGTGGAGTCCCATGAGCAGGTGGTTATCTAAGACACAGGAGGTCAAAGAAGAAGGTGGGAAAGATGATGAAAGGGAGGAGCCCCCAGGGACAGTCCAGAAGGTAGACAAAGGAGTTGTTGCAGCCTTCTATCAGACAGGGCCACTGGCACACTCGGCTATGCTTTACAGAATGTTCCTGCAATGAGGTCAAAATACTAGGCTGGGTCCATGGTACAGGCTCCACTCTCCATATCACGGGTGATCCGAGAAATGGTTATTTAAGATAAACAAATGCCCCAATTTAAAAGTTGGCCATGGATTTGACTCAACATTTCTCCAACAGAGATGTTGACATGATGAAGAAGCATCTCCAAAGATGCTCATCATCACTGGGGAGATGCAAACTTTAAGCACCGTGAGACACCACTTCACATACTCCAATTATTAAAAGAACAAGTTGGTGAGGACGTGGAGAAAACAGAAACTTTGTCTAAGTGCTGGTAGAAACATAAATTGGTGCAGCTATTGGAGAAAACACATTTCCTCAAAGGTTAAATATAGTTACTATACCAAAATCCATGGCCATTTTAACGTGATTCCAACTCATAGCTTTCCAACACCATAAATCTTCATGGGAGCCTCAGCTTTCTCCCAAGGAGTCACAAGTGGGTTTGAACTGCCAACCTTATGATTAGCTGTCCAGTGCTTATCCTACAATGTCACCAGGGATCCTTACATTGTTGTTGATGAGTGCCATCAAGCCTGTTCCAACTCAGAGTAACCCTGTATAGAATTTCTGAGAAACAGCTGGCGGGTTAGAACCATGGACTTTGGGGTTAGCAGCCCAGAGTTTATCCTACAACACCACACCAGGACTATGGCTCCTTAACTGTGTGTGAGCTCCTTACATATGACCCAGTAATTCTTCTCATGGGTATACACCCAAGAAACTGAAAACACAAGTCCACCAATAAAAAAAAGAAAGAACCTAACCTGGACATGACTGCTTATATAACAGGATTATTCACAATAGCCAAAAAGCAGAAAAAATCGAAATGCCCATCAACTGATAAATGAATAAACACAATGAAGTTACCCACACAATGGAATTCAGTCATAAAAATGGGTGAATGAAGACTTCAACATGTCATATAAAAGAACATTATGTTATATAAAAGAAGTCAGACACCAAAGGTAAAAACACCAAAAGAAGAAGTGAAAGAAAGAAAACCATTGCTGTCCAGTCGATAGTGACCCTACGGGCAGAGCTGACCCACAGGGCTGCTGAGGCTGGAAGTCTTCACAGAAGCAGACTGCCACATCTTCCAACCTTAGAGTGGCTGCTGGGTTCGAACTGTCAGCTTCTCAGTTAGCAACCAAGCACTTAACCATTGTGCCACCAGGACTCCTTATAAGATATTCAGAATAGGCAAATCCATGGAGACAGAAAGTAAATGAGTAGTTCCCAGGGAACTGGAGAGGGTGGAATGTTGGGAAGTGTGGGATTGTTTGCAGGGGAGGAAGATGAGAAGATTCTGGAATTCGACAGCCGGGATGGCTGCACATCATTGTGAATATATTAAAACCCACTGAACTGTGCACCTTAAAATGGTTTAAATGGCAACTTACTGTTCTATGAATTTTATCTAAATTTTTTACATCACTAGCTTTAAAAATTACACATTAATTCATGCATAACATCCCTGGAACATATGAAGGGGCATCCTTAATAAGCTAGAAATATGAGGGAGCTTCATGGAAAAATTCCATTGTCTTTTCATTCCATTTTTCCACAAATGTTTTGAAGCCCCCTTGTAATGAAGAGTCCCTGAATGTAGAAGGCAGATAAAGGAAACCACAACCTTCTAACAATAAACATATGCAAACCAGTCATGCTAGAGAAAGTGGGGGAGTGTTCAGTGCTGCAGTCATGGGAGGGGGAGGCAGGATGGGACCCCAGGGAACATGATAAGGGGGGCAGTCGGAGCAGCCAGATGGCTCAGTCTATCCCACACACTCCTTATCTATCTATGCCACAAAGTTAGAATCCAAGTATCGCCCCCTAAGGAAACATTTAGGTAAAACAAGCTGGGCAGTGCCCTGGGGTTGGTCATACCCGGGATGAAAAAGACCAGTCATTAGCAGACTCTGCCCAGCCCCCTACCCCAATCCCTGTCCTCACAACTTCTGAAGGTAGATTTCAAAAACCCCACTCTTAGATTTCCAAGGTCATCAGAAACCATGAGGTAGAAGTAGCAGTCATCAACCTTCAGAGGAAGTCTAGCATCAAGAAAGAGGAACCCTATTAACTGACAGCCAATGGAAATGTTTCACTAAAACTGATGCAGCAAGAACATAACAAGGGAACACTGTATGGTCTAAAATCAGGAAAGGTATGTGCCAGGGCTGTATCTTCTCAACATACCTATTCAATCTGTATCCTGAGCAAATAATCTGAGAAGCTGAACTATATGAAGAAGAATGTGGCAACAGGATTGCAAGAAGGCTCATCAGCAACCTGCAGTATATAGATGATACCACCTTGCTTGCTGAAAGCAAAAAGGGCTTGAAAGCATTTACTGATGAAGATCAAAGAATACAGCCTTCGGTATGAATTATAACGTGATGCAATAACAAAACTCCTCATAATAGGCCAACTGACAGCATCTATTTTCTCCAGATAAATGGAGATAAGATTGGAGCTGCCAAGGATTTCATTTTACCTGGATCCACAATCAACACTCATGGAAACAAGAAATCAAACGACATATTGCATTGAGCAAATCTGCTGCAAAAAGCCTCGTTAAAGTTCCAAAGAGCAAAGATGTCACTTTGAAGATTAAGGTGTGCCTGACCCAAACCATGACATTTTCAACCACCTCTTTTGCATGTGAAAGCTGGACGATGAATAAGGCAGGCCAGACAAGATTTGAAGAAGATTTAAATTACTGTGTTGGCAAAGAATACTGAATATACTATGGACTGCCAGAAGAAATCTGAGTTAGAAGAAGTACAGTAGGAATACTCTGTTGCAGTGAGGATGCCAAGACGTCATCTCATGATAGACATGTTATTGGGAGGGACGAGGAAGGTCCTCAACAAGACGGACTGACAGAACAGCTGTAACAATGGGTTCAAACCTAACAATAATTGTGAAGATGGTGCAGAACTGGGCAGTGTTTGGTTTTGTTGTACACAAGGTTGCTATGAGTTGGAACCAATTTGACAGCACCTAACAACAACAACAACAACTGTTGTGGACTGCAAGTACTGAGATGCTGAGGACTGGTGTCATGGACTAAAATCCAACACGATGGCTGCTCTCAGGCTTGCTAGCCAGGGACCCTGAGGGCCCAAGGAAGTAACCTCTGGACATCCCGGGTTCATTGGCTTTTATGAACTCACTGTTGGGCTAGCTCTGTATAATTTTCTTTGGTCTTATTCATTCTATGCTTCAAACTCCAGTAATTGTAGCTTCTGAGAAAATGGTTTTTTATGTGCCTCTCTTAATGTCTCCACTGTGTTGGCAGTGCTTGAGGTTCTGGGAACAAAATCTCTCTGAGGAACAAACTCTGACCACCTGGCAAGCATAGCAAAACTGTTCTTTATCAGATTATTCAGTTATGTTTGATATTAACTTAATACATGAGCCCTTGATACCCATGGACAAATATTAAAACAAAAAGCTCTTCTAAAGCCAAGGCCTAAAAGTTCCTAGGGCAAGTTTGCTGGGAGACACTGGAGAAAAATTCCGCTAAGGAATTCACCCAAAGTAGATTGATGGCTTCCAGGGTTTTGTTCAAAGAATACTGGTTGTCAGCCTTCTCAGATCGTCCCCAGGTGCAGACCATTAACATAGGCGTCCTTCCTCCTGCAAAAGCCTCGGCCAGGTAGCTGAAACAGCTGGATTCCTTTCAGAACCTTTTGAATCCTTTTCTCACTGAAGATTAGGTGCTATAGGTATGTTAATTAGCCTTGAGAAACCTCGAGTTGCTGCCTTGGGATTCGAACCTACAAAGTACTATATAACAATTTGCTTGAATTTCTGGAAAATTAAGGATGTTAGATTATCAAGACAATTTGTGATGTATGTTTTAGAATTTGTTCCTCTAAATCATTGTGTCCTGTTTTGAACGATTAATCACATTTCACTTCTGTACCCTGTCTTAATAATCCCTGCCTTTCTTTTTGTAAAGCTCCTCCCTGAAATAAAAAGGAGGCGCAGACTGAAGCCCGCACACGTTACGGCTTGCGGGGCATGCATACGGGCAGGTATTGCAGTTGATAAGGTGTGCATACTGCCTGCATAGCCATGATGTTTACAATGCAGGATCTGTCTGACGCCAGCGTCGCATCCACTCTGGTCTTGGGGTGTCTTCTTGTCTCTCTTGCTGTGTCTTTGTGTGTACTCTTTATCTGTCTCTGTCGCCGCCACATCTCCCAACTTCGTGAACCAAACTCTCATGTCAAGGCTGGTTCTCAACAAACAACAACAAAGGAGCTCTGGTAGCACAGTGGTTACGAATCGGGCTGCTAACCTCAAGGTCAGCAGTTTGAAACTACCAGTGGTTCCACTGGAGAAAGGTG